GTGTGTGTGTGTGTGTGTGTGTGTGTGTGTGTGTGTGTGTTTATATACACACACATTTCCAGTAGTGCAGTGGTGAAGCACTGGCCTGTGCAAAGCCACCAGCTGCTCTATGGAGGAAGGACAAGGCAGTCTGTGTCTATTAAGTTTCTTTTTAAACCCTTCTGAGCAGTTGTCCTCGTAGCATCACCGTGAGCGAGAACAACTAGGCAGGGTGGATATTTGGTGTGCTGTTGGAGTCTGGGTGGCATAGGTGGTTTCAGCTGCCACGACGTGTGCAGTTCAGACCCACCCAGCAGCTCCAAGGCAGCAAAGACCCAGGGATGGATCTGTAAGCATCACAGCCGAGAAAACCCTTGTTGGGCGGCTCTGCTGTAACGCCCAGGGCTACAGGGAGAGTCAGGGGCCAACCCCAAGGCAGGTGACAACACGCTTCTGTTTGCTTTGTGGGTGTCAGAATGCTTTCTCTTACCTTCAGAAAGTATCGTTCCCTCCACTGTGAAGAGCTACGTGTCTCCCCCCGTCCGAGAGCAGTGCACGTCAGAAGCCGAAAGGACGTAAGGTCAAGACGCAGTTCCCCTTCATTTATATAGGAAAGAGCTTTCAGCCTTCTGAGACCCCCAACGTGGTCCACCAAACCAACCTAACGTTAGGGCACTAACATTAAATGTACCAATAGTTGGGTAAATGCCAGCGTGTTTACTCAGCCAGCCGCCTGCAAGTCACTTCTGACTCGGTGAACCTTGAGGGCAAAACTGCCCATAATTCCAGGATTGTAAGGTTTTACAGGAACAGGCTGCTTTGTCTTTCACTGGAAACGTGGCTGGTAACTGGAACCATTGACCTTTCAGCTAGCCTCCATGCTTAAGGCATGGTGCCACCAAGGCTTCTTCACAGCTTGTGTGAAAAAAACGCATGTGTGTGTGTACAGTGTGGTTCCCAAGGAAGGAGCTCACTCTGGCTGCTTCCCAGGGCATGTGTCCCTCCTGAGTCACCACAGAACAAACACTCAATGCCTAGAGCCTTGCTTCTTCCAAGGGTGGAACTGAAACACTGAAATGAGGTGCCAGAAAGAGGAAACAGCACATTTCAGTGTGTAGACTTTGTTTTTAAAGACTGCATCATCTGGAAGACTGAGGACATTGTTTGAAAACCTTGTTAGAGGAAATTATCAAATGTTTTAATCTCTGGTGGCTTCATGGGTAAAGAGTTGTGCTGCCAACCCAAAGGCAAGCAGATAGAATCCACCAGATGCTCCAGAGAGAAAGATGGCCATTCTCCTGTGTGACTTCCTGCCTCTGAAAACCCACTGGAGGGTCAGCTGTGGGTTGATTTTTGCCTTGACAGCATAAACAACATTCTTGGGCAGGGGGAGTCCTCTGCAGTAAATTCTTATTAATCATGCTCTACAAGAAATGTATGACCATTTAGAATTTCAAAGCAATGGTTGAGAATTTTTCAGATTGCTTTTCTCAGGATCCTGATGCCATCTGTATAACTACAGGACAGAGTGGAGCTGCCGACAGGGTATTCAAGGGTGTAGTATTCACAGACAGGTTTGTCTGCACCTGGGAGATTTTCCACAGTAGATGATATGCTTAGCCATAAAGCAAACCTTACTAGATGAAAGAGGGGGCAATCTCCTCCTGTACCAGTCAGATCTGATTTGATGGTACACGTAAAAATAGTACAATTAAAAAAAAAAAAACAACAAAAACCACGTTTAAATCAGTACACAACATACTAAAATTTAAAGAGTGTAATTAAAGCACTGCAGCCTCCTATATGGTTTGAAGCTCAACATCAAGAAAGCAAAGATTCTCACCACTGGGCCAATTGGCAGCATCAGCATGGATGGTGAAGAGATTGAGATAGTTAACAGTTTTAGTTTACTTGGCTCCACAGTCAACACTCTTGGTAACAGCAGCCAGGAAATCAAGAGACGAATAGCATTGGGAAAGTCAGCTGTGAGGGACCTCTCAAGAGTACTGAAAAGCAACAATGTCAGGCTGGAGACTAAGGTGTGCCTGATCCGGGTTATAGTTTTCCCAGTTACGTGCTATGCATCAGAGAGTTGGACAGTAAATAGGGATGATAAAAGGAGAATTGATGCCTTTGAGCTGTTTTGCTGGAGAAGAGTGTTGAATATACCATGGACTGCTAGAAGAACAAACAGGTTTGTCCTGGAGAAGTTGAAGCCAGAATGCTCCCTGGAGTCAAGGATTCTGAAGCTTTGTCTGACATACTTTGGGCATGTTACAAGGAGGTCCTTAGAGAGGGGCATCATATTTGGGGGGATGGGGGCAAAGGAGAGGAAGACCTTCGATGAGATGGATCAATTCTGTGAGTGGAGAGGTGGGAATGAGTGTGTTTGAGGCAAGATTGGCACAGGATAGAACAATGTTTAGGGCTCTTGTACATTTGGTCACGGTAAGTCGCAAGTGACTCGATGGCACATAACAACAAAGCAATGGATTGAGGGAAATTGACAATCAGAATTGCCTATAGTTAAAATCTTAAGTCAATAGCATAGCCTTCTACCTTAAGATCCATAAAAGAATAGCAAACTGTAGCAAGCAGGAGGAAGAAATTCAGGACGATTAGAGCATAAGTTAATAGAGAATATGGTAAAATGGAAACAGAAGGTCATTCTTTTGAAAAATGAGCAAACGCTTTGGTAGGAAAAAATGGTGAAAGAGGATTCAAATTAATAGATTCAAAAGTAAGTTGTTGTTATGTGCCCTATGTACAACAGTCCTAAACTCTGCTCTGTCCTGTGCCAATTGCACTGTTTCTGACACTCCCATCCCGATTACCCCAGTCACTGAATCAGTCCACCTCATACAGGGCCTTCCCCTCCTGTGCTGTCCCTCCACCCTCCCAAGCATGATGTCCCTTTCCAAGGACCTGTTCCTCCTTACAATATGTCCAAAGTATGTTAGACGGAGCCTCAGAATCCTTGCCTCCAAGAAGCCACCCAGTTTAGCCCTTTCCAGGATGAGTCTGTTTTCCTAGTAGTCCATGGCTTAAATAAATTATTAAAGGTGC